CGTACTTCTGACGTAGGTCATAGACCTCCTTGGTGATCTTATATGCCGTCCATGGCTGCTGCCCAGCTCCCGTCGCTGTCGTCTCTTGTGTCGCCTTGTTCTTACGAACTCTCTTGGGACGCTTCGGTGGGAGCGCTGCGACAATTCCTCCATCACCCGAGGATGCTGCTGCAGCGTGGTGGTCGTCAATTTCCTCGGAAATTACGGCATTGTTATGTGCCGGACGTTGATAGGCCTGCTTAGCCACATAATGCGGCTGGGATTGTCTCTCATTAGCGGCCTTGTCATCCGTTTGGATGACCAAGTTCGCTCGATCCAGAATGGCCTGGAATGTGGTATAGTCGTACTCATTACCGAGTGCCAACCGCAATCCCGCGCACGATCGCGAGAAGAACTCGGATCGTTGATTTGAGAAACTCAAATCGAATCCTGGCGTGGTCACTATCTTTTGCCACTTCGTTGTCCAGTCTCGAGTTGGCATGTTCCCCTGAGAGCATGTGTACACCTCATTCATGGCCGCCTTCACGACATTGCGGACCATGAACCGGGTGAGCCATAGCTGCTCGAATTCCTTCCACGTGATGTGCGTGTGGAGTTCGGCGATGGTGCACTTGTGGGTGGCCGCCAGGTGGTTCATCCATGCCTGCGCTCCTCCAATCAGTTGCAAATAGAGTGCCTTCAACATGTCGTTCGCCGGGACAGTGCGGCATGACGCTTCCGTGAGGAAACGTTGCCACCATGTCAAAGCGTCCGACTTGTTGTAGTCGTCGAACTTGCAGATGTCGAAGTGCGGCATCTTGAATGTCTTTGTAGCGGCGTCCGGTCTCGTCTGTAGCTTGGTGATGTCCGTCTTGAGGGCGGCCACCGTGCTGCTGATCGTGTCCAGTCCGTTGAAAACACCTATGTCGCCGATGATGGTGACGACGTGATCGATGCGTTCATTGATTTGCTTCATCGCATCCGTCGTGCAGCCTGCCGCTGCTGAGGCCTTGGCCTCAATGCCGTTGATGCGTGCGATGGTAGAGTTCATCAGCTGTTGCTGTTGTTGCTGCTGCACTGCTGCGTCGCGGACGTCGGCCGTTACAGCGGCATGGTCTTGCTGGTACTGCTGTCTTTGCTGACGATCCGCGTGCAGGTGTGCCTGCAGTAGTTTATTGTTCCACATTACTCCCCTCATTACGTTCAACATCACGGTAGCCAGGTTACTTTTCTCTGCCTCCGCCTCTGTCGGTTCCGCCTGCGTTTCCGTAGGCACAAAGATCATGTCTTGGAGTAACGTTGTCCACTGATGCTCACTAGCAATCAGGGACTCCGTGCTGGCAGCATTCCGTCTGTTTCGTGCCACTTCGTCAGTCTCAGCTGTCCGCTAAGCTTCGGCTGTCGCTTCGTTGGCCAGCCGCTGACGTTCTGCCTCTGCCGCAGCCTGCTGAGCCTCGGCGGTGGCTACGGCGTCTGTAAATGCCTGTAGCCGCCCACGATAGTCAGCCCAAGACTCGCTGGCCTCTCGGACCGGGCATGCGGGAAAATCTCCGGTGGTGTCTTGTACTATCAATGCCGTACTTGATGCCGCTGGAGTCGTCCGTCTGCTGAATCTCTTGGGTCTTGGAGGTACCGCAGGGCGGGCACGAACTGCGATCCTGGCACTGCGCCGTGGCAGTGCCCCGGTGTCCTGTTCCGTCAACATCAGTCTTGAACTGATGCGGTACTTGAGAGGTGCCAGTGTTCACAGACTACAGGGGGGTAGGTAGAGTGGGAACAGGGGTAGAACAATCAAGCAATATACATACAATCCCCTGTCCCACTGATGGACTGTAGACACCTAATCAAACAGGAAAAAACTAAATTTCCCGTAAACCCTTCAAAAAAAATTCGTAATAAGGAATTAATAACGATTTAATCAATAAAATTAATTAATGATAATTAACGAAATAAATCCGAATGATAATCAGTAAAACAATGTTTGTAATAAAGATAACCAATTAATGATAATCAGTAAAACAATGTTTGCAATAAAGATAACCAATTAGTAAACGAATTTGAAAGGTATTATGATTGGGTCTCTTTGAGATCACTTTGAGTCCAGGAGTTCACCGTTACTGAGTGAACTACCCGGAAGTTGCAGTTTGAGGGTCAGATATGGCTTAGTGTGCTAAGAAAATTTTGGAAAATTTCAGAAGAAAAAAACGCTCGAATTTTCAAAAACGTGAATTTTCGGGAATTTCCACCGTCAAAATCCGATTTTTAAAAGCCTAAACCTATTTTCGGAATTTCTCAAACAAGGACAACGAAAAAAAAATTCGCGAAAATTTCGGTCCCAACCCTTATTTTCCGCGTTTCGGCGAAATTTCCGGATTTATGGTCCCAAAACGTTCGAATTTCCCCAAGTTGATCTAAAACCCAAAGATTCTCGTAACCCTAATTTCCAATACTGAAAGACAATGGAAATCCAAAAGACAACGAAATATAGGATTTACAACGAAAATGCCGAAAAACGGAATGCTGAATGGACATCAGAAACGCCGAATTCAACATGATACTGATTCAACCCTAATTCGTGTAACCTCAGAAATGCGAAACTTAATCAATTATCGGATTAGTATTACTCAATCAGAACTCAAATAGCAGCATACCGGAAGAAAACAGAAATCCGAATTATAAGTCCGAATACCGAATTGAACGGAAATGCCGAACTAAATAGAATACTGAAAGAGAAAAAAAATTTGCAACTTCGAACTTGATAATAATTCAGCGCTGATTGGGAAGATTGAAGAACAATCTAATTCCTAACCAGACTTACCTTTTTGTGAGCAGATCCGTTTTATGGTCTGCTCCGATACCAAAACTGTTACATACTCAAATGAGTATGGGCAGAACCAAGAATCAACCAAT